TAGTATACATTGCAAATTATAAGAAGCATAATCAATCTTTTTCATATCAAAGTAATAACAGTATTAGCTCAAAGGTCATAAAATAGAATTTTTACCTCAAAAGCTTAAGAGAGTATATGAGGCATATATTAGGTTCAAGAGATGGAAGCTTTTCAATCTTCAGTTTTCTTTCATGAGGTGTTCATCTCAAAAGGGTTTAACAAGTATGTTAGCAAAATGATTTCTCCTCCTAAGTTGGTGCTACCCTTTTCTAATGTGATTTGTGTAAATATAGCATTCATAGAACAATCACTATTACTCAATAAAAATACAGCACAAATCACTTCTTATCACAAACTCAAAAAGTGAAAAATAATTCAATGATCAAACAAGAATTTGGAATGCTATTTTTCAGAATTTTCAAGTTGTAGCACATAGCATAATATGCATAAGAAAATAGTGTTATGCTCTTTGTTTTAAAAATGATGCAACAATCTCATTTAATCACATAACATTATCAAGAGGCATTTTCATCAATTCAATCCACATACTCAAGTGTGATAAACATTTTACTCAATGTGGAACACAAAATAAATGCTATAAACAATTAATTCAACAATTTATCAATCAAAAGCATTTCATAAGATGTATGCCAATATAATCCATATTCAAAAGATATTCAATAGGATAGATACAAAGTCTCTACAAGCGCATGATACTTCTTTTCATTTAGATATTGTTGATGGATCATAATCAACGAATTTCATAACTCATTCAAATATTCCAATGTAAAGTATATAAGCATGAAATTTTCATATTGAGCATATTCTTGAGATCATAAATGTAGAATTCAAAATATAGATAATATACATCTAAAAAATATGCCATGACATCAAAATTGATTCTACAAAGATATGACTCAAAAAGGAATTAACATATTAGCATGAAGTCATATATAAGATGTGAAAAGTATACTCACAAAACATATTTATCACTTCTTATCTCTTTCTTATAGTAATGGATGACATGATATATAATGTTAATGAATACATGAATCATTCATATTCTAATAGGCATTCATCAAAATAATATAATTCTCATTTTTGAGTTCAATGAATGTTTGAAAGAAACTAGCAGAACATGACTTAGCAAACTTAGTACAATTAGGTTACATGGAAGCAATGATTAGACACAACCTATTGTACACAAATCACACCTTAAAGAATATAGAACTTTAAGCTTAAAGGTGTGTTAGGAGTTATACCTTCATTTAACTCTTTAGAATCTTCACCCATACATTTTGCTTTCAAACCTTGAACTTGGATTCAGAAAGCTCAATGGTCAACCACGATGTGAGGCTTGTATGGCCAGATTTGAAGCAACCCTTGAACTAGGGGCAATAAAGTCAGATCAAGAAGATCAGATATTATCAAAGGAAACTTGTGAAGCTAGATCAGAAGCAAATGTCAGATGTGCTTGAAGAGTCAAATATGGGTCATTTCGCCAACCAATGAAGACTAGGGGCAAGAATGCCAAATCCCAGAAGGGAGGAAAGAAGAAAGTATTGCTGAAGGACAATCGAGCTCCTATCTACAACACTAGGGGCAAATTCAGCCCCCACTGGATGGACTTCTACATCATCAACGAACAACAACCATTCTTCTAGATTCAGATGGCTTCGAGATCCTAAAACTATTTGACATGGACAAAGCTACACTTTTACCCTTGAGAGGCTCGCTAGGCCGAAAATCCGGAAGGGCGACCCAGGCAAAAATTAGAGCAAATGAAAAAGAAAATAAAAGAAAAGAAAAAATGAAAAAAAGAAAAGAAAAAAAGAAATGAAAAGAAGAAACGAAAATAAAAGATTGAAAAGAAAAAAAAGAACATAGCTCGCAAGGTTGAAAATCCGGAAGGGCGGACTTGGCAAAAGTTAGAGGGCAAAAGTTAGAGCGCAAAAGGAGAGGTTAATACCTGAGCATACCTTAACCTGGAACTACGTCAGACTTGATTCCCATGTTTAGGATGCGTAGGCAATTTCATTCTGAAGTTCAGCCGTAAACACTTCAAATTCAACTGTCCTGTCCATGAGATTGAACGGGTCATCTTTGTCATTTATGTATCAAAGAGTTCGGTTGTAATCTTCACTATGAGAATTGGTTACAGTGTGCTACGGTGCTATAAATCAGAGTTTTCTTATGCTAATCAGCGTGGTTAGGCCTTTGTGCTATAAACAAGTCTATAGTAAGGAACAAACTCAGGCCTAACCACGCTGATTATAGCACAAAGTCCTAGCCACACTGCTAATCAGCGTGCTGCCTTTGTTTATAGTAAACCAAATTTCTGGTTACAGTGTGCTGCAGTGCTATAAATCAAATTTCTCTCTAAATCCTCCAACCAAACACAACATAAGAGAACTTGTTTTGCATGATGTAAAGGAATAGATTTGAGAAAACTCTTCTCTGATTTGAAAACCACATATACTGCGTTGCACTTTGAGCACTCACTGTGCATTGGATTTCCTGTCAAATGGCCAATTGTGATCGGAGTTACAAGGAGAAGATATCTTGTTAAGTGGAGTCTCATAATAGAGTCTAAGCCACTTGTGAATGGACTCGAGTTTACGTCAAGGCTAACACATTAGAGTTAGGTTACGTGGACTATTCTAAATGTATGGAATCCACGTTGGGTACTCTACACTTGGGTGGGGATACAAGAGAAGAATATCAAAAAAGCCAGCAAACTGGCTCACAATATCCCAGCTATTAAAAGACCTTTCATGCATCCCAATATCTATTTTCAGATGTCCAATGTTTTGAAATTTTACTTAATCCAAACATAATGGCCCCGTTTGGTATAACTGTTAAAAACAACTTATAAATTATAGCTTAACAGATTATAAATTATGACTTAAATCAGAAGTTGTTAATTTGTTTGGTGTAACTGTTGGATTATAGATTTAAGTTGCTGAGCAGTATTTGTTAATATTTTTTGTTTGTCTAACATTTCTCAGAAAATATAATAATAATAATGTATAGTCTATTTGAGTCTTTTTCTATTTTTTAAAAAATAAAAAATAAAAAAATTTAAGAGTATAAACATAAATTAACATGTCCATAGCAGAAGCTGATAATCAGAAGCAAGGGGTGAGCAACTTCTCAGAATCAGCTTTTTTGAGTTTAAACTGTTAGAATCAGAAGCTGTTTGAAATAAGTTTAACCAAACAGTCCAAAATAACTTTTTCAAAGCTAAAAGTCATAAATTGACTCTGAAAAGCTGAAACAAACACTCCCAATATAGCAATGCTCCAAATGGTGCTTTTTCACCATTTTTGTCACGTTTTCTCCTAATGGTTTACTGGTTTAATTTCTCACCTTTTCTCAAGTTGTATCTATATCTTATTTAGTGTAATTAGAAAACTAATGCTTGTGAAATTCAGGTCTGCCATCAAACCCGCTCAGTGCATTTAACTATCTGGTGAATTTATTCTTTCAACTCCTTTGCGCAGAGAGTAACCGCTCCACTTGTTTATTTTGTAAAGGATATTTAGCATAGATTGATTTATAGTTGAATTCATGGCCCTTTGCTGGTTAGGTTTGCAGCTTAGTGAGAGGGGTATAGTTAAATACAGTTCTCTGCTATCTAATCCTGTGCAGTGCTCTCTCACATTGCAAGGTAGTATTTTTTTTCTTCCCTGAGCCGTGTTCTCTTCCTCTGTGTAGGTTTGGTTTTTTGTTTTTCTATTTTGTCTTGCAGTACCTTGCCCAAGTCTGACATCTAATTTTGTGAGTTGTTTGATAAAATATATATATCGAAGTACAAAGACAAATCCTAACTGCAATTTATGAGGTGTAATTTTTAGAAGGAAAAAAAAAAAGCGTTGAGGGTATCTTGGTGCTAAAAATAGTTGAGGGTAAATTAGACTTACCTCTCAGGACGCTTGGAGAGGTTTACAGAAAATGCAGTTAATGACTGGAATTCAAGCCGATATTGCGTAGATATTATCTTTTTTATTTATACAACTAACGAATTACTGATAAAAAAATAGACGCTCGGTCAATAGGCAAAGCACCTACCGCAATGTCAATCTTGTTAGAACTCTATTACGTGACGCTAGTCAAAATATCTAAAATGTAAATGTCTCACCTGATTATGGTTTAGCTAGCAAAAGTATATTAAAATTTAAGTACATTATTTAATTTAACCAGTCACTTTTTGCAATGCATATACTCCAAGTATAGTCTCTATTTTAGCAAGTCAATTTCAATAAATATATTTTTAATTTACAAACTCCAAAAAGAGAGAAAGAGGGAGACAAAAACATTATTTTTTATTTTTATATTTAACTAGTGTGAAGTGAATCTTCAGATATAGCTAACCAAGAAGAGATGAGACAAATTAACTAAGCATAATAATAATAAGCCTGTTGAAAAAGTAAAAACAAAAGGAGACTAGTAAAACGGCTAAAGATTTAGTCTAAAATGGCTAATGCTTAACATGTCTAAGACTTCAAAGAGTATTTTGATTCCGTACATTACGCAATGACCTAAAATGTACCCCTCTATGATTTCACTTGTGTGTAAATTTAGCTTAAAAATTAAAAACACGTGCTATAATAGTTATAATAAAAAGTTAGGGGAATATATTATGAAATTCAAATTTTATTAACTGACAAATGTGTGGATCCACACTAAATGATACCAGTGTTTAAGCCTGTGAAAATAACAAATTCTTAAGTTAACAATACATTTTTCCTGTTCCGAACACATAACTGGGTTCCTATTTTCTCTTTACTCCTGGCATACCACATGGTTTCTATTCTGCCTCCTTTAAAAAGACGAGAGAGACAGATAGAATTTCTGTTGGAAAAAACAAAAATGCTAGAGATCCAAAAGTTTTACTAAAATTTCTATCAAATGTCTCACATGAGTGTGGGACCCACCATGTGACACATTTGGTAAAACATTTGAAATCGCTAGCATTACTCTGGAAAAAAAGAAAAAGCAAAAAAAAAAAGAAGAGAATTAAGGATCAGATGACTGTAACTGACAACTAGTTTGGAGCACAGCAATCAATCAAAAAGATGAAACAATGGCAACTGGTGAAGGGTTATTGGATGAGAAACAACTACAAGAACATCAAAATTCCAGCCAAGTATATATTAACAACCTTTAAATTTTACCCGCATTTCTCTTGCAATTGAAGGTAGCCATCTCTCCCCCCTAATTTTTTTCAGTTGTGCCACTCTTTCTTCCTCTCTTTTGGCCGCTGCCTTTGCTGCTGCATCTTTAGCTTCTAGTTTAGCTAATGATTTCTGGTATGCATCTCTTGCTGCAGCTATTATATCTGTCCCATCAACAGCAACAGATTGGAGTTGACTTTTGAACTGCAAGACATTGTCATATCAATTAGGCAAATTTAAATATGATTCACGCTACATTTGTTTAGCATAAAATATTTTTCTATGGGAAACTTTTTCCATAAATTTTTTGCGTAGAAAACATTTTCCTATGCTTGGTTGCTCCCTTTAAACTAACGTAATGTACTAGTGGTTGTATTAATGGTGGTTGGGGTGGTGAATGCAATGGCAGCAGGGTGGAGGTGGAAGTAGTGGGGTGGAGTTGGCAGGGGTGGCGGTAGTGCGGTTGCATTGGTAAGACTTGTAGTATGTAAAATGTTTTTCATCTTTTAACAGTAGAAAACATTTTTTGCCCAAACAAACAGAGTGCAAGAATGATACAACTGCAGAATACAGGAGAATAGCAATAAGGAATCAAGAAAACTTAGATGAGAAGGCAAACCGTCTTTGAGTTCTCGTCAATCTTTCTACCAGGAAGGATTCTTGGTTTTTTTGTTGGTCGCTGAAGTTCACCTGTTAAAATACATGTAACTTTTACTGCTTGAATACAACTTGGAAAGAGAGGGTGTCTAAATGTCCCACAAAGTTTACACCAAAGGACTACCAACTTATTCATTTTTTATGCTTCAAATCTAAATTCAGTCTAACAAGATTGGCAGGACATTTACTACTGGCTAGTAGGCTCACAATTCTAAAATTCTCTCCAGTAAGTAGACATTTGATAGGTCCAATGGCATCCGGACCATTCATGACGAGAACTGCCATTTGGTGGACCATGAGGCTGTTTGTGAGCTTCTACTTCCACACATCACATTATCTCATTTCACACTTTTTTTTGGGTTTGGATATCAACTTCCGAACAAAACTATATGGTTCGGAAATCTAACTTCTGAACAAATAGTTGAATCACAAGGTTTTGTTCGGGAAATCAACTTTAGAAAGAGACATGATGTATAAACTAAGAGAAAGTTGTTTGTGGAAACAGAAGCCCCATTCTGGGGGTTGTGCTTCAACTCACAAAGTGGCAGCAAAATTTGATGACAGGACAAAATTTGTGTTCAATTGCCACATTTTTAATTAATCATTTGCAGCATATTTGATTTAACGGCACCACTATGACAGCAGGAAGTGTAGAAGATAACCACCTCCTATCATTGTAACTTCCTATAGAAGCGGCACAAAATTAAGAAAGCACTGAATGACTGACAGTTGTACTTGAGAAAATTGACCTAGTTGTTCCCTAAAGGTGGACTCGGTATCAACATTTTTATGGTATAGCCACAAAACTTCTAATATAAAGTAAAGACAACACAAAATTGTTTGATAAGTTACCTCTGTGATCAAACACTATCCCAGGGGGAGCATGTTTAAACAGTCGAACTCCATTGTCATTAATCATGGGGTCATCATCCAGGACATGAATGGGTTCTTGCACTATTTCTATGGTCTTCTCTAAGATGTCATCCAAAAGCTTTTGTGCCTGTCATATGGTTCATCACGAGCAATAATTATAGAAACTAAATATATATATATATATATATTTCCTATAAAAACACACACACAAACCATATATGGCATGACAGATGTTGAGAGGAATATGCATGCTGACAGACATCTGAGTTGCTATGCATTCTAGTAATTTATATATTTGTGTTTGTGCCATTTTCTTAAACACTGTGCACAAGTTTTGTTATTCTTCTTTCACATAAAACAACCGATTTTTCCTAAGAAAATGGCAAATAGTTTCGCTAAAAACATGATGAAGTACATTATCATAAGGACTTCCATCACAAACAAACCTCTTTAATGCATGCTCCATTCAAATCCACATGCTATACCCACACAAAAAAATGTAGAACTCTAATACCTCTTCATTGGAAAAAACTGGGTCATCTTCACTAGGCACAACCAGAAGAAAACAAGAGCCAAAGAGTAGCTTGGAAAGGTTGCCAAGCTAACTCACAAAGGGAATAAGAAAAACAGGTTTCTAGGCAATTTATCAAACAAGGGCAACTACACCACCGTGGTTTTCATGGAACAACTCCCCCTCCCAAAAAAATAAAAACTGTACAGTGTCAATCAGTGATTTTATGCAAGATCAGGCCCAAATAACTAACATGCTAGAACTGAGAGCACTGCAAAATAACTAACATTAGCCATCCAAATTTAAATCCCAATTCAAGACCATAAAACAGCTATAACAATTAATCCAATGATTTTCCTCTCAATCTTAATAGTCTGTTCTAATCACACGACAGGGCATTTATCCTTCCCAGCGCAACCCTAAACAAGTAGATAAAAAGCAACAAAGTTTTCTTGCAGAAATCACATCTAGAATGAGTGTAAATTGGTAGTATAATGGAAATTGAAATGCTTGGGACTGACTGAAGTGCGGGGTTTCCATATACACATTTTGTGTAGAAGCTAGGTGCAGAGTGAATAGGCATATCCATATCCTCCCAAAGTTTCAGCTTACACTCTATCATAACAATTTGTAAAATGGGTATCACAATGCACATGGCAACAACAATCACAAAAAAAGTATGATAAGACAAAGAAGAAGAAGAAGAAGAAGAAGAAGAAGAAGAACTCCGTGACCTTGATCTGGTAATGCTTAAGCTTTTGAGGTTTGTGATTGGTTACTTCATTGTCTTCGTCGTGGCCAGTTGATTTCGTTGTGGAACCATTGGAGGTAGAGGCAAGACCGTCGGTGGTCGTGGCGGCCACGGAATCTATGGCGGCTCTCCAATCGGCGTCTCCGTCATCCTCGCTGCTGCTGCTATTACTCCCACCACCACCGCCGCCGCCCATTCAGCCGCCAAAATCTGAGCGTGTGTAAATGGGCTGTGCGGGGGTTTAGGTTGACTTTCTCGGGCCGCCTGACTTATCCGGACCACCCAAACCCGAATGCAGCCCACGGTGCAACGTCATTGTAATTTTTTCTTGGAAAATTTACCCATAACTCCTAGTTTTTGAAACGTTGAACCATTTAGTCTTAAAAGTTTTCTTATACTCTATTTAGTCATATTTTTACATCAACATGATGTGAATGATGTAAATGATCTGATGTTTCATTCTATTTGGAGGTAGAGGCAAGACCGTCGGTGGTCGTGGCGGCCACGGAATCTATGGCGGCTCTCCAATCGGCGTCTCCGTCATCCTCGCTGCTGCTGCTATTACTCCCACCACCGCCGCCGCCGCCCATTCAGCCGCCAAAATCTGAGCGTGTGTAAATGGGCTGTGCGGGGGTTTAGGTTTTCTCGGGCCGCCTGACTTATCCGGACCACCCAAACCCGAATGCAGCCCACGGTGCAACGTCATTGTAATTTTTTTTTTTTTTTTTATTCCCTCAATCCCAAAAATACGGGACTTAATAACTTATGATTTTGGGTTTACATTAACAAATGCCTTAAGAACACCTATTAAGGATAAATTAAATCATTTTACAACTACGTTGCAGACCCCAGTGAGGTGGCGAGCCTCCACTGACTGAAATTAAAAAAAAAGTAAATAAAAATAAAATAATTTTTTTTTGTCCAATCATGGCGTGCCACCTCACTGGGGGTCGACCCCCAGTGGGGGTCCGAAGCATTTTTCATCATTTTAATTAACCTCATTATTAGAGGAAATTAAAAATGGTGTAAATGGTGTATTATTGTTAGAGGCCAAACTATTCTTTCTCTAATTGTCTCTATTTTTATATAATTTTCATAATGAAATTTTTTTAGGATAAATTATCAATATGTCATAATAGTTGGATTTAATGCTGATCAACTCTTATTGAAAATAACTCTTAATAAAATTATCGCTAAAAATAATTTTTTTGACAATTTTTTGTATGTGCCGTTAAAAACTAAAATTAGTAACTTTTTTGTCATAATTTTTGTAAATTATTACTAAAATTTATAATTAATGGCGTTTTTCTGTGATGAATTTTAAAAATTATCGCTGAAAGTTAAAAATTATTGAAATTTTTTTGTGACGATTTTTTTAAACTATCGCTGAAATTTATAATTAGTAACATTTTTTTTGATAAAATTTTTAAATTATCGCTAAAAATTAATAATTAGTGACTTTTTTTAATAGTGTTTGATGAAAAATATAATTAATTATTATAAGACGTATTGGACAATAAGTCCATCTATTAGGACCCATACATAAGTCTTCCCTTTTTTTTAAACATTTAATCATAAAATGAATGCATTTTATTTTTTAAAATAACATTTTGGGACTTTTTTTTACTATAATTTTTAAATTTAATCATAATTAAATTATATGGTATAAGAAAAATGAATTTAAAAATCACAATAAATATAAAACATTTCATAATATTAATCAACAAAAGAATTTAATTTTTAAATGACGTAGATTTTTTTAAATGTCATTTTATTTTCAATTATAATTAAACTATATTTAAAGAAAATGAATCTAAAAATTAAAAAATATATATATAAAATAAAATACATTTAAAAAAACACGACTTTTAAAAAAATAAAAGGATTTCACTTTTATAATAAAAAAAATATTCCATTATGAAAAGTATATAAAAATATTAAAATATAAATAATTAAAGAAAAAGGTAGATTGGTCTCTAAGAAAATAACATTTATAATCTTTTCAATTTTCTATAGTGGTGGGATTAGTTAAAATGATATAATGACCCATAAATTATTTGGTAAAATATATCAAATTACAAAGACGGGTCCCAATTGCAAATTATAAGGTGTAATTTTTAGCATGTGTGTATATATATAGGTGTGCTAAAAAAAATTGTGGTAAATTACACTCACCTAACAAATTATGGTAAATTACACTCACCTTCCCAAAGGTTTAAGAAAAATGCAATTAATTTCATATTTTAATATAATTATATTTATTTTTATTTTAGTAATATTAAAGCAAAGGTAGTGCGTATATATTTAAATAAACAAAAATTAATATATATGTTAGTAGAAAAACGATAATTGAATTATTGATAAAAAAAATTACTTAATTATTATGTGAATTAAAACTTTAATGTAAACTAGTTTAATTATGTAAAAAAATATAAACTACTTGTATTATTTTTTAAATCTCATTAGGGGTGAGTGTAATTTACCAAAACTAAAATTATACAACTAGATTGTCAAAACTAATTATTTTGTAGGTAAAACATAAGGAAAATGCTATACAATTCACCATACTACAAAATGTGTAAATTTATCAAAAAAATTCATAACATCAACAACAAAAAAAATGCGTAATCTAATCATAAATTTGCAAATATATATATATATATATTATATATTGTAACTAAACCATCAACTTTTACAACATTAATTACAAAATTTTGATATTTTATTACGCTAATTTGTGACAAACTTACCCATTTTTTGATTGACTTTATAAACTTTTATAATAAAATTATACATTTTTTGTAATAGAATGCATGTGATATGTACCCCTTAAAAATGTGCACACCATAAGATTCTCAAAAGCACAACATAATAGCAAATCTGAGATTACTTGCATTAAATTTAACATAAATACTAGAAGGATTACATCAAAATTTTACGTACGTGACAATTTTTAGAGACAGTTACAAAAATAAAAAAAAAATTAAAATAAACCTTAAGATTTGATCATTATCACAAAATAAATCATAAATTTATAATTTTATCAATTTAAATATTAAAAATTTTGATTTATTTTCAATATAAAAATTTGCCTATTTTCGTTAACTAAAATTGATTAAAAAAATAATATTTTAGTTATTAAACTCAATAAAAATATTATTTTATTGAATGCAAAATAAAACTTACAATTATTTATTAGAAATTGGGAAGCATAGCTCCAAAATACATAACTTTAAAATACAATTTCAAAATAACTTAAAATTTTATGGTTACAAAGAGGGTGAGAGAGGTAGTTTTCTTCTTTCTGCCTTCTTCTTGACTGGGAAGACTCTTTTATAGGCGAAGTAGATGACTGTGATGCTTGTGAATTGGGAATCTGACCAAAAAGTAGCTCATGGAGGCATATGGGTGCTGTCTGCTGCTTTCGGTGATTGACTGAAAGTTGTCTTTGCTTTTAACTGTTTTGGACTTGTCTTTGATTGAATAGTGAATAGTCAATAATGACTTTTTTTGCTGTTCATTTACTTTCGGTGGAGAGACGTGTTTGCATAGTTGACTAATAGGGAATCAATATATCTATCAGCAATTTTTCTCAAAGTAAGAGTATTGATTGGAGCTAATGTATATATGGAATCCAATGACTATTCTAGGCATATGGGTCCTGAGCATCTTGAAATTGTGGACCATATGGATCATGACTAGTAGAGGCTTCTAATAAGGCTGATTCATCTGGAGCATTTTCTTCATCTTGTGACTTCGTTTAGGCCAGTAGTAATTTTACAATCTGAATTAATTCTTCATTATTGGTCTTGGACTTGGGCTTTGCTTTGGGCTTGGACTTGGATGACTTGGATTTGGAAGGTTCAGTGCTGGGTATTGGGCTTGCAAGTCTGATTGTTGTAAAAGGAAGTGGGCTTCCTTGAGTGACTGAAGCAGTTGGGTTCTGTTGAAAGGACTTGACTAGTGCGGGATTAGGAGTATGAATGTTAACTGGAAATTCTTGCTGGACTTGTTCAACAATGCGATGGGTTTTGAATGCATCCCACCATTTAATAAAATGTTGCCGACTGACTATGTTTTCAGAAAGATGGTATTGCCATTTAAATATCCAAAAGACCTTATATTTGGACATAAAATGGAGCAATATAGGAAATTGACTTTTATGTTGACTCAATTTATAAACTGAAGAGAAATAAGTAACTTGGGTTATTAGTTCAAGAGGGACAATATCTGGGATGGCATCATGTTGAGACCACCATCTCAGAAACCAGGAAGGGAACTCTGACTTGAACTTATGATCAAAAGAGAAAAACCAAGAGTGACTGAATGACTCATTTTGGTGTAAAAGGATTTTGAACCAGGCATCAATGTAATCATAATAACTGTATTGTATCTTATGATTTGGAAGATCTTGAAGTAAGAAAGGGAGACCCTATTCATTAAGGGACACAAACGTTGTGTATGTATAAGGAGTGGTAGATGATTTTACTGGTATTGACTCTATCATAAATGGGTTTAATGACTATGGATTTGTGATGGAATAGAATATCTTTGTAAAAAGTGATTGACTTGTCTGGATGGAAGGGAATGAAATGTCATCTAGCAGATAAATATGAGCTTACTAAATTAAGGACATTGTGAATGTTTTTATGGAGTGATTCTTTATAAGAAAAAAGGTTGAATGATTGTTTAAGAACATTGTTTGTTCTTAGGGTAGATCTGGATGGATGACTAGGAGGCATTAGAGTAATTGACTGACAAGCAAAGGGATCTGAAACAAGGGCAGAAGTGTAACTTGGTTTAGAATGTTGCTTGCTATAATTGTGGTAAAAAGGGTCATTATTTTAATAAATGCAAACTTAAAGAAAAATTAAAAAATAAACCTAATCAATTACAAATCACTAAAGAAAATCAACATCAAATATTTAAAATATTCAAAATCAGCAATCAATCTCCTCTTCCATCTAGTTCTTCATCTAGGGAAACTAGTAATCATGACCTTTCCCGTGACACTTTTGATTCTCCTAGTGATCATACTGATAATGATCAAATTGAATTAGGATGTAATGATACTTATTGTAAATAAGTCAATGTCCTTAGTAAATCCCAACAAGAAGAGGATTCACTAATTGAATTAATTAGTAAACTAGATAATCCTGAATTAAAAAGAAAATACACCAATAAATTAAAATCTCTATTAATTAATAAAGATAAAAAAAAAACCTCATCACGATAAACC